CACTACTTCATATTTAGAGATATGGAATATCTTACTGGGTAACAATCTCTCTCTTGGACAATTAACTCGTGCTTATCCAGAGGAGAAAGACTAAGTGAACATATCCACCATCACCAGAGAAACGCACTCATGACCCATGTCTTGGCTTCAAAGGGCATATGTTCTACTTGACATACTCAACACAGATCTACAACCCCAACAACAACTTCAGAGCTGGGGTAATTTCAAAGAAGCCTATCCTTCAAGGTCTATGTTAGTGGGAAGTGCTAAAAGAGCTTAGAAAAAAATGAAACTTCGGGGGTGTTTTCATTTCTTAATGTGTATGCACAGGGAGAATTTTCCGAAATAGGTATAATGAGAAGTGGGTTTTGGAAGTAGGATATCATTTAAGTGAGCAGAAGGAAGGATGAGGAAGTAGAGATGATCAACATACTCTCCCAACATCAGATCAAGGAATAACTCACAGATCCATTCCACTAAATCATGAGCTCCCACAGTGCTGTAGACAATGTTTGCGACCCTGCTCCCAAATGCTTATGTTGAAATCCTAACCTCTAATGTAACAAACAGTATTTGAAGGTGAGCTCTGTGGGAGGTGGTTAGGGCATGAGGGGAAGGCCCCGTGAATGAGATGAATGCCCTTCTAACAGAGACCCTGAAGAGCTACCATGGCCCTTCTGCCATACGAGGACATAGGAGAAAACAACCACCTATGAACCAAGAAGCAGCCCTTCATTCGACATTAAATTTGCCAGCACCTTGATCTTGAAGTTACAACCTCCAGAACTATGAGGAATAAATGTCTTGTTTTTAAAGGCCATGCAGGGCCTGGTGTTCTGTGATGCAGTCCAAGTAGACAAAGAGAATTAGAAATGAGTACAAGAGACTGGAGGTCAGACATGTAGTCAGGGGTCAGGTTACTGAGTTCCTTCAATATCAGGGCCCTGTTTCTAGAAATGCTTATATTACTGGCAATACAGAACACGGCAGGACTGCAGTGAATGTTTCCAGGTGGGGAGGTGTGAGCCTAGGACGAGAACGTCACCGGGTCGGCGTGCTGGTCAACCCAAATCCCCCTCTACGATAAGAGAAGGGGCTTCGCTGGAGCCGCTTCTGTGAGGATTAAAGCAGGTTGTGGCTAACGAAGGGATGTTCCAGAATATGAAGTGTAAGACTTTACGACAACGTGGCTGAACCAGTGTGGGAACTTGAGAAGCAAACAGGGGGCAGAGTCTATGAAGGGTAAAGAGTCAAAAAGTAGCAATAATGTGACGGGTCATAAAAACCACTCGTTTTAAGTCTAGGTAATTCAAAGAGCCGATTTTTTCTTTCTTTTTTAAGTAATCACTATACCAGTGTGGGGCTCAAACTCACTACTACAGACCAAGAGTTGCATGCTCTTCCTTTTTTTTTTTTTTTTAAGATTTTATTTATTCATTTGTTGGAGAGAGAGAGAGAGAGAGCCCAAACAGGGGAGCAGCAGAGGGAGAGGGAGAAGCAGATTCCCTGCTGAGCAGGGAGCCCGATGTGGGACTTGATGCCGGGACCTTACATCATGACCTGAGCTGAAGGCAGCCACTTCACCGACTGAGCCCCTGACCCATCCCAGGAGCTGCATGTTCTTCCCACTGAGCCAGCCACGTGCCCCTCAAGGAGCACCCTTCTATTTCTAATTTTGAGTCAAAACTCTTCTTTTGGGTTTAAGAGAAGCCTTAATTGACCTTTCCATATCTCCATGTTAAAACTGAATTCACTGATGGAGGTACGCATCATGTATGTTTGTCTGAGTTATATAAATAATTTAAGCCGATAACATAAATTGTATGTCGGGTTTTTTTTTTTGTTGTTTGCTTTGTTTTGTTTTGCTTCAAAGTTTTATTTACTTATTTTTCTTTCTTTCTTTCAGAAAAATTTATTTATTTTTCTTTCTTTCTTTCACTGGCTCAGTCAGTGAAGCATCTGCCTTCAGCTCAGGTAATGGCTCCAGGGTCCTGGGATCAAGCCCCGCATTGGGCTCCCTGCTCAGTGGGGAGTCTGTTTCTCCCTCTGCCTGCCGCTCCCCCTGCTGGCGCTCTCTCACTCAATCTCTCTCTCTGACAAATAAATAAATAAATATTAAAAAAAATTTTTTAAATAAAGACTTTTTTTTTTCTTCCATAGGGTAAATAATATAGTTAGTCTTCACTGTAGGTCAAATTACAACATGAATATCAACAATTCTACCCTCCACGTTCTCGGTTCTGTTAGCAGTTAAATCTAAATCGTATATAATTTGGAAAAATTTTCTTCATTGTGGTTAAGCAAAAGAGATTTCTTTATAATAAAACTCTCAAGTTCTTGAATAAAAAAACAATTACCCTGTTTTGTTAGTTTCCATGTTGAGCTACTAAGGACAGTTTCTGTGCAACAGTTCAGACCGGGACAGTGCAAAGAAAGAACTTCCGTGACAAGTCAGAGCTGGACAGACATTAGTCCTCTTAGAAAACAGCCTTAGAATCCCAGAGCTGCTGTCTGGGTTGAGCTGGTCGTGTTCCAGAACGAGACACCCGTTCCAAGACCTAGTGGGAAACGTAGCAAGCAAGGAGACGAGAAGCTTCCCCACCTCGTTAGTTAGAATTTGATTCTATTTGAATGAGCCAGTCTTGAAATGCTGCAACCATCTAACAATGTCCATGTTTCTATTTCACGTCCTTATTTATCCAAAACGTTATGTGAGTGAAGACTCCTAGCACCGAGCAGTCTGTGGCATCCTGTTCCTGATCTGTTTTGCCTATTTGTGTCATGATACCCGTCATGGTCACTTCTGTCCCCAGAAGATCTCCCCTCTGCCCACAGACTGTCCACAAAAGGCAGTCCAAGTATGGAGATACAAGATAGATTACAGAATTTAATGGATGAAAGCATTTTCCTCACCTTACGGACTGGAAACAGGCAGAAATATGACATATTTGTCCTCTGTCTCAAACAAAAAATTGCAGGTAACTGAGTAACTTACATGAACCCAAGGAGTTTTTCTTATCAGCTTGTTTGCTTTGCTTTCTCTAGTAAAAGTATCTAAGTCAGTAAAAAAGTCATGATGTCATTCATATAATTCACCTACATTTATAAAGCTCTTTGAGGTACTGATAGCCATTTATATACTATTCACCGAAACAAAATGCAGTGAATCTAGTTACTCCAACCTTCATATTTCCACTGCTATCTTGTTGAAATATTGAAGATCACAGGAATGCTGTTTTCTAAACGTTGAAGTTAACATATGAAGTGGTCATAAGGCCACTGTAAGGACATAAATTGTTTAAAGACGGGGAATCAACATTGTAGCAGTTTTCCTTTAGAATAAGGTAGAATTATAGGAATTAAGATAAAATTATAAATTCAAATAGTTATCAAACATTATAAAACAAAATATAAAATAAATAATATATATTAAAATAAAAATATTTTTAGATTTTAAAATAAATTTGGAAATATATTGACAGAAGTATCTTTATAGAGTACATATGGAGAATTTTCTTAATGGAAAGAGAAATAATTGCCTTGAAAAAAGTTATATGATGATATCAGAATAAATTTGATCTCTATTTTTTATTTATCTTTTTCTTTTTTAAATTTAATTTAATTTTATTTTTTTCAATGTTCCAAAATTCATTGTTTATGCTATTTTTTAAATGTTACATCTGCAGTTTCTATTACAATTCTTTCTATTGTTACAATATACCACCATTCTCTAATATCATAATTTATTTGCAAGAAAAACAAGTAAATAACTTATCTTTAGAAGAGCAGAAAGTGGGTAAGAAATTTTATATCAAATTGCCAAGGATTATATTTGTAGAAACTTTCCTAAACATGGCCATGCATGTTAGACAGGGAAAAGCTTACCTAGGTCATTCATAAAAAGAGATAGTTGTGTGCAATATGTGACAAAAAGGCAAAGAGTTTCTAAAAACAGACAACAGATGTTGTAAATGATCCAGAAAAAAACAAAAAGTGTTGTACATCTAAAAATGCATAAAGTATAAAGTATATCATTATATATTTAATATATTAACTTGTATATACCTTAATTATTAATATATTAACTAGATGTACAATTTTCTGCGGTCAGAGGAGACTTCTCTCAATCCACAAAATAAAACATAAAGCATGTGATTTGTGTGTAATTCTGTTGACAATGGCAACAATACCATTTTATTTATCTAAGCAGTAAATTTCTCTGCCCACTGTCCATTTTTCTACAAAACTTCATATATTCAACAATCTCTAATTAGTATAAAATTTTAAAACCAGAAGATAAAGCCTCATTTGCCTTATTTAAGTATGTTTAGCAGTTTACCTAAGAAAGTCCAATTTCTTTGAAAGGGACATTCCTCTCCCCTTTGACAAAAAAAAAAAAAAAAAAAAAAAAGATATACTTGCACAGGCACAATTCTTTTCTGGCTGATGAATGAAAAAAAAAAAAAAAAAGTAACTTAAAATCGTCCCAGAAAATTTTTGTTCTTTCTTTATGGTAGAAATCATAGATCGAAAGAGAAAACTGTTGGGGAATGGAATATATTATGATTGTGTGAACCAAAAATTCTCTGAGGAGCTCAGTATTCTTTCATGTTTTTATCCCACCCACATCCCAGACTCTTTGTCTTGAGTGTGTTCTCTGACAGTGTAAAAGTTCCTTCTGTTGTTCTCTGGATCGTACTCATCCGTCCTCTTTGTGACTTCTCTCTCCAATCCACAGTTGCTTAAAAACAATGGTGTATTGTAACTTTACTGGAATTACCTTGACAACACCGTTTTACAGATCTATAACCATTTGACGTCTATAAATGAAGGCAATGATTGCTTTCAATAACAAGTTTTTAAGAATTAAAAAAGTGTGCACAAAAGTCTACTTTTTATTAACACTTTCTGATAATTAAATTCAGGTAATTCCAACTGACTTCCAGAACCTAAGTCCCACAGTGCTGCCTGATCTGTGATATAAAGAGCCAGTACTTTACCTCACTTTCAAATTCCCTTGTTGGAGCTGGCCGTCGTACACCGATAAAATATCAAAATCTTCTTCAAGGGCGAAGGTGTGGAACGACAGTTGTATCCGATTGCGTTCTCCTGTGATAATGATCCAGGTGCAGTTCGCGTAGTTTGGATAACCGTGCGGAAACCCTGGGCTCTCGATGGTGCCATTGGGACCCTGGACTAAACCGCCACAGTTCTGACCTGAAAACGAAGGCACACACAAGAAAACAGCATATTATTTTGGCCTATCTTTACTCTGTGATTTTTTTGTTCTTAATTTCCAACCATTTGGCCAATTTTTATAAATGACTTAGTTTGTGACCTATCGTGCATAAATATGGAATGATAAATTGTGAAAGTGTTCTCCAGTGCGAAAAGGTGGGGTGGGGGGAGGGAGGCAAAAAAGGAAAATACACACATTTAAGAACTCATATTAGAAATTTGAGAAAAAAGTTTTCTGTAATTTTCAAGTATGTCTTCATCGATACCAAGCTGCCATATTCGTGAAGCAAATTTGGTGTCAATGATCTGCTACAGCATCAAGTTGAAGCTGAAAAACTCTGCCTTTAAGTTCCTTGCTCAGAGAAATGACACTGACAGATCCACAAACCACTCTAAACACACACACGCACATGCACACGCACACACACACGCACACACACGCACACGCACACGCACGCACACACAAGTTATCCATATCACCACAACCTGAAGCAGCATGAGCTATCAGTGAAAACCACACTCCGTGTTCAATCTATTCCTACCTACACTGGCAAAGTCCCACAAAGCAAAGAATAAAACAGCACTGCTGAATTCTACCCAGTTTGAAAGAAAGGGCGTAAAATAAGAGAAATTAAATTATGCAGAAATGAAGGAGCAACCCATTAGAATAACGGACATCCCTCCATCAGTGTCTTCCTTTCCCCTGGGCAGGGTTCAGCAGCTGTCAGAGGAGGGTGACTGACATCCTTGCAATGGATGCCATTAAAGAAAGGCTCAGAGTCAGTCTTCTCTAAGCAGGATGCAGGGTATCCCACACTGGGTTCCCCTTTCTTATTCGAACTTCCCTTAGATAGGCTGAATTAGGATTGCTCTTACTGTTCAAGATGGACATTCGTGATATGACTATTTATAATAAGATGTATAAGAAGAAATAGATTTTGGTCTTTGTCCCCTTTGGCACAGAGCTCCTAAAACCTTCGGAATTTCCTAAGGGATGTAAGAAGAAAAAAAAAGGGTCTTGTGTCATGTTAATGAGAGGACTTTTGGAAAGCCTGTAAGGTTGGGGGCCAGTTGCAAGGGGAAACAACCAAGTGATTAGAGGGTTTGAAACCTTCAGTCCCATCCCCCTGACCTCCCGGAAAGGGACAGGTACTGGAGGTTAGATCAACCGCCAGTGGCCGGTGATGCCTATTAATCGATCATACCTATATAATGAAGTCTTCATCAAAACACAAAAAGAAGGAGATCACAGGTTTTGTAAACTGTAGTCCCAGGATTCAATGTACAAGGACTTGTGGTGGAAGGACAGTGTCTGGGAGATTAGGGACAGCCGCATGCCTGCCCTTCCGCTGCGTTCCTACTACCAGATAAACCCCAGGACCCTTCCCTTCCTGACCTCCCCCGCCTGACAGCCCTCCTCCTTCAACAACCTGCTTGTGCTCATCTTTCTGCTCCTACCTGTTTCTCCCACCTCCTCTCTTCTCTCCCTCCCACATCTAGCGTAGGAAACTTTAGGGACATGCCCTGTTCTGTCACTTCTCATCATGAGCCTTCCATGGCGATGTGTGGGTCAACCAGCCAGAATGAATGTCAGGACAGCCCGGCCATTTGAACTACCCTGGTGAACACATTTCCATCACCGTAACCGCGAATCTCACCATCGTGGGAGGAAACAAAGTAACTCCTACCAAATCCTTCCAGCTGTACTCTGCCTGGTATTGGTGAGTAAGTAGGTTCTGAAAACTGCCTGTGGGCTTTCATCCTTCTCCATCTGGACCTTTCCCATCAACATGCTTAAATGTATTTCAATGTTTTGACAGGAAGAATATAGGAAAGTTTGGGAGGGACCGGGGCTCACTCAGATTATTGTATGTAGTGTAAATATCTGAATACAAATATTATCTCAGCTTTTACTGTTGAACCGCAAACAGGAGATTATTTGCGACTACATTTTTACATGTTAAAAAAATACAAGAGTAGCTCTCAGAGAGTCAAGTCTTTCCCAGGAATATTATCAAATGCTGGTGGGAGTTTGCTAAACCTTAATAAAAAAAGATTTAATGAAAGGGATTTATGAGTTTAAAACCAAGAAACTAATAAGAAGCCCATTTTCCACTAAATTTAAATCTAACAATAACACTGTAACAAGTAGATATTAAAGCTGTGGGGTTTTGAAAGGTCTTTAAGGAAAATAGCTTTTCTGGTTTATCTAGCAATTCTTGCTTCACAGTAAATCAAAAAGTGAAGACTTGATTATAAATTGGAGGAAAGAAAAATAAAGTCAAGAGAAAAAGTGTCAGCTGGAAGGTAGCTGCTATTATAGACCCATCACGCTGAACCAGATTATCAGTTATTAAGATTTTCCCCGTGGAAGAACGTTTAGGCTGTAGTGGGTCCCAATTAATAGTGTGCATTTTGAAGAATGAGTCACATTTGATCAACAGATAAATTTTCCACAGGCCCTGGCAGAAACTTTGGGAACTGCTCAAAAGTTCAACAAGTAACTCTCCACTTTGGCTGCACATTCTAAACAATGTAGGGGCTTTTCAGATCAATTCGAATGCAGTGCCTGGACCAAGAACATCCAGGACAGCCCCGAAGAACAGAACTGGAGATCTGGTCCTACTGGAGACCCCATCTTATTAGGAAGCTGTAATAAGCCAAACAGTGTTCAATTGGGACAAACCTAGAAACACAGACAATGGTACAGAGTTGAAAGCCCCAAAACAAATTCACGGAGGCGCGGACTCTAGATTTTTAGCAAAGATGCACTGCACTGCGAAAAGCATGGTATTTTCAGTAGATAGTCCTGGGCCAACTGGACATCCAAATGGGAAAAATAAGCCTCGATCCCCCCCTTACGACGCACACAAACATCAAATCCTATTGAACTGCAGACCTAAATGTGAACTGTAAGACAGTCCCAGTGCCAATAGAAAACAACATAAAAAACCTTTTTAACTGTGGGGTAAGCGAAGACTTCTCAAATAGAACACAAAAAGTAAGACAACTAAAAGGAAAGAATGAAAAAGAAACAGAAACGTGGGGATGTTGGTATTCAACAAATAGCTTGTTCATAATATAATAAACAAGATTCAGAAATCAATAAGAAAAAGGTAATAGAATAGAAAAATAATGATTAGAGGCAGCTGGGGATTCACAATCAAGAGTAGGGTTTTTCCAAAATTGGAAAGAGACGACTGGATCCTAAAATGGAAATCCTTTGGCAGCCCGACCGCTTTCTCACCTGGGCCAGTGCTGATCCAAAAGGTAGAAGGAAGCAACCTTTTGTGGTGCAGGAAAAAAAAAAAAGAAATCCTGATTTCACTGGTCTTTCTTTGTAGGAACAACGACCCCACGCTGCTTTAGACCAAGCAACTTTTGGTCCCACTAGGGAATTGTGAACTTGCCAGCCAGTTACTCATGTCTCCCGTCCCATTAAATCATCTCGACTGTTAAGAACAACAACACACAGGGCATGTTTATTTGTCTCAGCATCAGGACAACAATGGTATTGACTAGAGCTCCTGAGAGTAATTAAAAATCTCTACTAATGTTGCCTGGAAGGACATCTCCTTAATAACGATTACCGTAAAGTTGTGCACCTCAGCATCATCGTGACCTGTCTGGGGTTCACGCTTCCTAACACACTCACCATATGTAATGGCTGACACCACCTATAATTAAACTAAAATTACTCTCCAAGTGGTTAATTCCAGGATGTAAAGTGATTATAATTAATGAATGCAAATAACTTATAGTTGATGTCCTTCACTGGTACCAGAATTTGCTTCAGGTATCTTGGTAAGGTATGTCTGAAAGAAGGATTGCTCTAATAGCAAAACGTTCTTTCGGTTGAATAAAATAAAATAAGAAATAGATGAATGTATGTAGATTACACATGACATCTGCACGCATCCTGAATTTACGTAAGTTACACATAGAGTAAGGGTCTGGCCTGTGGCCCCACTACTGGCAAATACTAAGGTTGGGGTTCTTCCTTAAACGTTCCCAGCAAGGATTTTTGCCCGTCTCCCCTCTACGATTTTCCCCTCTTGGTTCTTACGCTGTAATGGGCACTTGCCCGCTACAGAAAACTCTCAAATATTTCAAAAATGTTTCCTTTTTATACAGCTTAAATCTATGCTTCTCGATTTAAATGCAGACCTTAAAAATAGCTTAAAATAAGCAGATTATTTTAACTGGAAAAAATTTGATGGACACATCTTCAAATACCGTAAACATAATCTCACATTAATATGTTGCTCAATGGGCATCAATTGTAAGTACTTTTTTTAAGTTATATTTCCTAAGGGCACTGAAGTAATCTGCAGATAAGTTTAATATTTTAGTGAATCATGTTGTTCTTTTCAAGACTGAAAACTCAGTTATGGCAGAAGAAAATGCCTAATGGTCTTCTTTCTTCAGGTACTGGTGTTGGAAGTTACCTTAACATCAAACGTCAGTGTCAATGGGGGAAAAAGAATTCGTGTGGACACGCACATGGACGGCACAGCTAATTTAGATGCACATCTCGCAGAAACACACAGAACCGAATCCAGACCCAAGCTGTTAGGTGCTACAGTTCAAATTTGCAGTTCAAACCCAATCAGAGCATTTCAATACATGCCTGAATTTGAAGGGATTGGTGTCTAATAATGTGACATATTGGTTCTATCTCAACGAAGCCAGGAAAACAGAAGAACCTGGTATCTAAATCCTCCAGCAGTTAAATTACACCTTATGAAATACTCAGTTCATTCTGAAGTAATCAGCAGAATGTATCAGGGACCCACACAGAGTTAATTTAGTATAGATTTCTGCTCAATTTAGAGATTCTCAGGACCACGGCGTCCAACGCAGAGGATTACCAGCAGGCGTTTTAATTCGCTCTGAGACTTTTGGAGTGAGGCACTGTTTTCAAAATACGTTTTCACACAGAATCTCGGTTGGCCAGACAGCAGC